GCTGCAGTCCTTGTGAGGTCCCTGTCACAGTGGTGTTGGATCAAGGATTCCAGGATACTTAGGTACTGAAGGTGAACCGTCAATCACGCTGTTGGTGACCTGGAAAATGGATGGTGTTCCCATTAAGTTACCGGTCTTTTCAGTGTAGCAGTTGTGGATAGGGAGGTACTGTTAAAGATACTTGTTGACTTGTTGAAGTGTAACCTGTAAATAGTACTTGTTCCAGCCACATTTGTAGTGTGTAACTGGATGGGGAGAGATGGATATGGAATCAAGTAGCAGCCATCAATCGAGTTTGAGACATGCAGTGAGAGTTTCTTTTACAGCTATGAAAATCTGAGACAAAATGTAATCTATTGAAGCTAACAGCTTTTCTACTGATAGTTTTCTGTGTGTTTAATAGTTAATAGTTTTTTTATATGTATATGAAAGAAAAGTGTATGTACAGAAACAGATTATGATTTTTTTCACAGTAATTAGTGAATCTCACTGAATAAGATGGAATTTGGAAGACCTGAAATCTTATTAAATTATTGCAAGAACACAACACTCAACGACTAATAGAGTGATGATGTTCCTAATTTAGCTTCTATCTCAGTGATTTATCTTAGCATCTGAAAGAGTGCAAGAAAATTAAAAACTTGGAAAAGAAATAATAATTTGACCTGTTACTTCCATGCTTGCCATATGCCTCAAAAAATTTGCTTTATGGAATCCACCACAACTAATTAATCATCTAAAGCAAAGTCATTCAAGGTTATTCCTTAATTCTCAAAGATACTTTATTCTGCACAAGCATGTGAGGCCTGGTGCCCTCCTTTTGTGCTGTGTCATTCTCTGATTCTAAGTTTGGAATTAGTGTTTGCTCTAAAGCTGCAGGGACACACAGCAGTGCAGGAAACTGCAAGTTCCTACCCAAGCTATGAGCAAGTTTGCTCCTTTAAGTTATTGCACTTGCATGGTTGCACCAAATATTTCAAGGCCCTGTGCACAATGACAAAAATGAGATGGTACTTTGTTTAAAACTCTCTTGAGTTGACTTTTATATTCTCAAACAAGGCCACTTGACCCACTATGCCAATACTGACACTTTGAAAGAGCTGCTCTTACAATCCTACTTCCCCTGTCCTTTCCCCATAACATTTTCATTTCTTCATTTTCAGATATTAATCCATCTCACATTTGAAGGCCATTATATATTCCACTTCCACCCAAGGTCTGACAGGGTATTCATTTTTATTGTCTTAACAATTCTGCCTGTGTTAAAACAAATGTAAGAACTTGAAAATCTTTAGTTTTTTTGTCTTGATTATGATCACAACTTTATATCCTCTCATGACTCACTGACCAGTTGTAATAATATTTCCTTACTTCCCTATACTTCAAAATTCTGAAGACCTCAATCTCTGTTTTGATGAAGAGTCTCAAATTCTGCAGGACCCTCACTACACAAGCTTTCATCCTTGTCTTTGGCTTTGGTATTCTTCCTAAATTAAAGTGCATACAGTGTGAATTTTGCGTTATCTCTTTGTTCTTGTACTCTCTGCTACTATTCACTGAGAATCGTATATACTTTTCTTCAGATCTTTACTAATTTACTTGTTCAATTTTGAAGATTTGTTTGTTTGAACTCCTAAGCCTCTCTGTTGCTCCAGATCCTTTATTATTCCATCACATTTTCCTTCCCAAAATATTTCACTTCAGCCAAATTTCAAATGTTAAAATGGCTGCACTAAAAGAAAAATCATGAGGCTAAATGGTTACATGCCTCAGCAGCGTCCCATATTTATGTGATGAGCACCATTTAAAGGTTGCCTGTACTATAGAAAGCTGGCCAGCATCCCTTAAAAGGATTGATTTTTCAGCAGAGGAAAGAGCGTGCTCCAGGTCCCTCTCTCGCAGCTTATAAACATATAAATGAGGAGCAGAAATGGGTCATTCAGGCCCTGAACTCTGCTCTGCCATTCAATAAGATCATGGCTGATTCCATGTTCTTATCTGTCCCTGATAGCCTTTGATTCCACTACCTAGCACAAAACTATCTACCTCTGCCTTAAAATTATTCAGTAATCCCACCTCCACCACCTTCTGGGCTAGAGAGCTCCAAAGTTGCACAGTCCTTGGAGAGAAAAGAAATCTCTTTACCTCTGTCCTAAAATGTTGACCGCTCATTTTAAAACGGTGTTCATTAGTTCTGTGTGCACACATGAAAGAAAAGGTAATTTCCACATCTACATTGTTAAGGCCATTCAGGATCTTATGATTACGGCTGGTCCCTGGAGAGAGCCCGCAGTTCCTTCATTATTCAATCCTACCTTAGGTTGGTCAAAACAAGGTTAATGTTTTAAAAAAAAATTTCTTCCCTCATGGGCTCTTTTTCCCAGCCCAATAATATTAATATATTAAGAAGAGCCAATTTGACCAGGCCTTTTTTAGTTATGAATGAGTTTATTAGCTCAAGAAAAAGATAATAAAATGCAGGACACTTACACACAGATTGGAAATGAGGGGTGATCTCAAACGTAAAAGTGAAATTAAAGACGTATGAATCAGACTTTGTCTGTGACAAATAGGCTGTGATATGTTGTGGCTGTTAAATTGGATGATTTGGGAATGTGACATTGGCAGTTAAGTGATTGTTTGAAGCTGGTAAAGGTGCTCCTGAACAAAAGGTAAAGGGACCATTAATAGCAGTAAGTGACAGTTTACATCCTCACTTGTCATTTGCTTATATGTCTTCTTTTAAAATCACATGTATTTAGAAGTTCAATATATCTGTATTTAATTCAGGATTATGACCCATTTTCACATTATATTCTTCAATCAGATCACCTCTCACTTTTCTTAACCTCGTAAAACAAGATCATCTTTTGAATCATTCCTCATAAGACTACTTGCTCATTCTAGATATTAGTCTAGTAAACCTCCTCAGAACAACCTCCAGAGCATTTACACTCTTCCTTAATTAAGGAGACTAAAATTGCACACAGTTTCTAAGATGTGGCCTCACCAATGCCCTGTATAACTGAAGCATTACTTCTATGTTCAGTACTTTACATAATAAAGCATAATGTCCCGTTAGCTGTCTTTATTATTTTAGTGGGTGTCTCATGGTCCAAACAACTTGCCCTACACTTACTGCCACACATCATTCTGTCCTGCAAGAAAGAAGGAAGTATAATGAGTGTTATAACTAGGCGAAGAGAGTGAACCAGCTCTTTTCTTTTTAACTCCCTTGTGGTCAATCACAACAATTTGTTTTATTAGCATGTGGCTATCACATTTCAATTATAATATAATTAATTAAATGAAGGCTTCACATTACAAGGCTTTCATGAGTGTAAGAAAGAGGCATTTTATTGCCTACAAACCCTCCCAAAAAATACAGATGTGACATCAAAAATACGCACAAACACAAGTAATAAGTTTAAAAGGAAGGAAATGTTTGGTATTAACAGGACAATTAGGCTACATAGTTTATAAAGAAAAGGTCTTTGGGTCTTTGATAAAGGCGACATGGTGGCATAGTAGTTAGCACTACTGCCTCTAAGTGCCGGGGACCCAGATTGGCCATGCTAAATTGCCCCATGATGACCAGGGATGTGCAGGCTCGCTGGATTCGCTGTGGTTAATACGGGGTTACGAGAATAGTTTGAGGGTTTGGGGAATGTAGGTGTGGGTGGGATGCTCTTTAGAGAGTCATTGTAGACTCGATGCAAATGACCTCTTTCTGCACTGTAGGGATTCTGTGATTGAGGTGTTAGATTTTAAACCTGAGGCCAGTTGATTATTTGTTGACTCATATTCTACAGCAATTTGAGTGCAAGCTGAATGGCTGTTGACAAAGTTGCATTTTCACCAGCACAGACGACTGAGATAGGGAGCTGGCTTTTCAGTTCATATTTATTTTTCTTCTTTGCTGCTCCAAGCGATTGTTGATTTGGTTCATTTGTATGTTCTTGACTTTGCTCATTGTTTCTCCAAGCTAAACAGGATATGAATTTCTTGATGTTGACTTAGTTGTCTAGTTTTTGTCTTTGGATGAAGTGGTAATTTCAGTGCACCCAGGTTTTGTACATCACCCTACACTAGGTTTCACAAAGCTTGCCTTAACTCTGGTCAAGTCATCACAACAGCCATTTTACAGCAGTTTTTGTCCTTTTTAAAAACCTCCTTAGTCCATGAAGGGTCTCTGATATTAAAAATCAGTCAATGAAAAGTTGAATATCAATAGTCCATGTTTACGATTATAATAATACGAGAGGTAGCAAAAACTGAGCAGCAAGGACAGGCACGCTGCACATCCTTAGGCCATGAGGAGACTGAGGCTGTGGCTGTATCAGGGTCACAACCATTGAAGATGATGTTGTTTTCACATCTGATTCTTGTTTTCACATCTGATTCTTGTTTTCACACCTCACTTTCTCCCTTCGTTCTGTTATCACTTCTGATTCACAAGCTGCAGATGGTCTCGGCAGGCTCCTCTTGTTAACTACCACCATTCCCTCCCCCTCCCCTCGCCATTCCCACCATATAACTCTACTTCCATGTCTTTATCCCTTCAGGAACTTAAGAACTGCAGGCTGGGGAGTAGTGGAAGTGCAAGTGGTAGATAAGCAAATAAAAATACCAAATTGGTTAATCCAGAAGTCTAGTGATTCCGTTATTGATTTGCTGTTAGATACAAATAGAAATTTTTGATAGCAAACTGAATTGGTACCTGTTTGCTTTACCCAGCCCTTTTCTTTTTTCAGTTATCATATATTGACTTAAATATTAATTGATTGGAATTATAATCTATAACTTGATTTTACAGATTCTCGCTATTTACCTCTGGTGATTTTGCAGTTTCTGGTCTTCCTTTTCTTAATTGTGTAGTCTTTTATATACCCTTCTGTATAGGGATAAATGTAACATTTTGAGAGGAAATAACAGTGCAAATGCATTAGATTAAAAAATCCCATTCTTCATGGCCTTCAATATGTGGATACTGTTTGATAATGTATGCTCTAGAAGATGCTGACAGTATTCCTCTTCCATTACTAGGTGTTCGAACTGTTTCTAGCTGTTTTGTTGTTCCAATGGCAACAGGAATGAGCCTGACTCTCTGCTTCCTTGCACTGCGCCACAGGAGGCCCAAAGCAAAGTTTATCATATGGCCAAGAATTGATCAAAAATCATGCTTCAAGTCCATGATCACTGCCGGTACAGGATTATAATTTATGGTATTAAATAGTAACAGAATATACACTTTCCTACTGTCACTGTTTTCCTGTTTTGACTATCTGTTCTCTAGCTCTATTATTATTTATATTCTCATACTATTCTGCTTTAGGTCAGTACCTTTGTTGGGATTGCATACCTTCCCATTGTGGCAAACCTCATATTTAATATCCTCTCTGATATTTCTTCTTTTTCTCTCCTCACCTGGGAAAGCATTCCTGTTTCTTGGAGAACGTTCGGAGGATGTCATCTTGATGGTGCTAATCTTTCAGTAGCAATGCATCAAAGTAGTCAGCGGAGTCTCTGCATCTCCATCCTTTGTTATATTCACCACATTGATACAGGCACCCCGAGTCTCCTTCCTTGCACTGCAAATGAATTCAGGAATGCCAAACTTCAATGTGGTAAATTCATACGAAAACACAGCATCATATTCCATATGTACACTGCTAACATCCAACTGGACCTCGCCTTCACATTTTCTGACCCCAGCACTCTCCCCCATTTATCACAATGTTTGCCGACCTTCAGTACTGACTAGACAGAAATTTCCTCCAACTAAATATTAGGGAATGTCAAGGCCATGTTCTTTGGACCCTAATCACTGATTAAATCTCTGTTCTCGAAGCTGAAGCCGAGGCTGAGTGGTGGGGAAAGCAGCTCACCTTCAATTTGGCACTTGGCAGACTTTGGTATTTAACATTCATTTCAACCATTATAGATTGTAACCTTTGCTTAAATTTTATGTCTTATTTGGCTGTTTTGTGTGTATTATTGTTCCTTTCCTTATTCGTGAAAAATAAAGCAATAGGAGCAGCAGTAGGCCAAAGAGCCCCTTGAGCCATGGCACTAGGTGTCATTTAACTAGACCATGCTCGATGTACCTCAACAACATTTTCCTGCACTAGTCCTTCATCCCTTGGCATCTTTAATATCTAGAAATCTACTGATTTATGTCTTAATATACTCAGTGACTGACTCTCCATAGCTCTCTGGGGTGGACAGTACCTAAGTCTGCACAGATCAGAAATCAAACTCAGACTTTCTGGTTTGTATAACTACTTATAGATGGATGCATCACTGGGTGTGATACTAAGAGATTGGGGGAGCATCCAGCTATTACCTTTATTGGATAAATTACAGAATGGAGCCTGGAATCTGAATGGTAGATTAGAGAATTGAGCACAAATGTCAGACAGTAATTCTTGATGCTTCCATTCTTATCTAGAAAACTAAGAGACAGTTTCAAATTAGCTGGGCTGATGTCTGTGCCCCATTCCGCAATCCCTCGTAAAATAGTAAACCTATTCTGTGACACAGCATTAAAATGTGGAGGTATGATTGATCACTTCCCCTAGGCTGCTATTTCAGCTTATAATGCAATTTGAATGTCTTTTATTTTGTGATATTGTGATAAAATGATTTTTGTTTCTTTTTAAATTAGCTCATAGACGTTTGCTCATTTACAATATGTCGTTAACTGAGCTACTGAATTTTCGTGAGATCTTGCGTCAACTTGGGATGTAAAATGTTCCTTAATATTTGAACTGATTCATTTCCGCACTTGCATTTATTTTTGGATCAGGTTTTGAACCTGTGGTGATTGAGAATCTGCTTGAGGGCGATGAATTGCGCACAGATCTGCAGACTGTTGAGAGCAAGATCCAACAGCTTGGAGCAAAAAATATCCTTTGTGTTCATTCCACCACCTCCTGTTTTGCCCCAAGGGCTCCTGACAGGTAAGTGTCTTCTCCGCTGGTTTCTGATTTGTTAGTTACACCATGCTTTAAAAACAAAATCAATTCACCCCATGCTGCTAGATGGAACAAGCTGACTTGTTTATGACTTGGTGGTGTTTGTATTTTTTTAAAAACCAGTGTATGCAAGCTGCATACACAGACTCATAAAACATATTGATTTACATTGCTTTATCTGTCTTTATTTTCTCATTTCTCCTCACATTGGCGAGGTTCCATGTGTTTCAGCCCCTACTAGGGATCAGTCTGCAAACTTGCTTCAAGACCATGCACAGTAGTAGGCTATTTTATACATGGGAAAAGTAGTAGATACTGATTCTGCCTTCACATATAGGTCTTGCAGTTGAAGGTAGTGAATATGGCCTTTATGAGTCTGTCTAAGGCTTTCAATTCCATAAATTACCAAGCTGATTGGAAAGTCCTCCAGAGACTTGGATATCCACCAACATTTTTTACTATCCTGCATCTCCTTCACAATAGTATGGCAGCAAGTGTCCTTTGTGATAGAATGGAGACTGAGCCTTTTTGGAATCAAACGGATGGCGAACAAGGTTATGGGAGTACACCAACTCTGTTCACTATCAACCTCCATCTGTTTAACATATAGCATCTTGGCTAATAAATCATTTCTCCTCAATGTTGAATACCACTGGGATTAACCACTGATGGTGGTAAGGGCACAGAATGTACACCAGTTGCAGAACTTCAACATTCACCACCAAGACAGGATCTGCAGGGGAGGCGATGGCCTAGTGGTATTATCGCTGGACTGTTAATCCAGAGATCCAAATAATGTTCTGGGGACATGGGTTTGAATCCCACCACAGCAGTTGGTGGTATTTGAATTCAATAAATATCTGGATTTAAGAATCTAATGATGACCATGAATCCATTGTTGATTGTTGGAAAAACCCATCTGGTTCACTAATGTCCTTTAGGGAAGGAAACTGCCATCCTTACCTGGTCTAGCCTACATGTGACTCCAGACCCACAGCAATGTGGTTGACTCTTAACTGCCCTCTGGGCAATTAGGGATGGACAATAAATGCTGCCTGGCCAGCGATGCCCACATCCTGTGAATGAAGAAAAAAAAAAAGCTCAGGCTGATCATCAAGCTCATTTATCAACAATGTCCACAAGAAGTTGTGATGAGTTTCATCTGAATGGGAAGCTTTTCAACCCAACATGCTGAAAGAGTGGAAATGGCCTAGTGGTGGTGTCACTGGACTGGTAATTCATAGGCATAGATATTGTTCTTGGGACCTGGGTTCAAATCCTACCACAGAAGATAGTGGCATTTGCATTTTAAAATATCTGGAATTATTTGCCTAATAATGTGTGAAATCATTGTTGTATGATATAAATTGCACTATCCAGAGCCAGTCTGATTCATTAATTGTTTTGGGGAAGGAAAACTGCTGTCTTTACCTGGTCTAGTCTACATGTGATCTCCAGACCAACAGCAATATGGTTGACTCTTACCTGTCCTCTGAAATGTCCTAGCAAGCCGCTCAGTTGCATCAAACTGCTAAAAAGTCTAAAAAAAGGAGTGAAACGTACAGACTGTCTAGCATTGACCTGGACACCAGAAACGAAAATGGCAGGCTCAGCCATGGCAACTTTGCAAAGTCCTCCTTACCACCATCAGAGGCTGGTACCAAAACTGGGAGAGTTGTTTCACAGACTCATCAAGCAACAGCCTGACATAGTCACAACTCTTGGAATCACACCTTACAGACAATGTCCCAGATACCACCATCACCATCTATGCTTATGTCCTGTCCCACCAACAGTACAGACCTAGCAGAGGTGGCAGCACTGTGGTATACAGTCAGGAGTGAGTTGCAATACGAGCCCTCAACACTGACTGTGAACCCATAAATTTGTGCAACACCAAGTCAAATGTGGGCAAGGAAACCTCCATCTGTTTAACATATAGCATCTTGGCTATTAAATCATTTCTCCTCAATGTTGAATACCACTGGGATTAACCACTGATGGTGGTAAGGGCACAGAATGTATACTAGTTGCAGAACTTCAACGTTGACCACCAAGACAGGATCTGCAGCAGGGTTTTCGACTGAGCTGGTTGAATCTTAAGGGATATAGCTGCTAGTGTGGGTCTGTAACAGGCGGTGAAGGAACCAGCAAGAGGAAAAAATATACTTCACTCCAACCTCTCAATCTGCCTGCTGCAAATGCATCTGTGTATATCAGTATTGCTAAGAGTGACCACCGCACAGTCTTTGAGGCTTAGTTAATGAGGTGCTGTCTAAGGAGCCTTGGTAAGTATCTGTGCTGCATTTTGTAGATGGCGCACAGTGCCGAGCAAGCGGGCTGCTTCACTCTGGATGGCATCAAGCTTCCTGAGTGTTGTGGGTCTGCACTCATCCAGGCAAGTAGGGAGTATTCCATCACACTCCTGACTTGTGCCTTTTAGATGGTGAACAAGCTTTGGGGAATCAGGAGCTAAGTTAAGCTGTGCAGGGTTCCCAGCCTTTGATCTGCTTTTGTAGCCACTGTATTTATATGGCGATTCACCTCTGTTCTGGTCAGTTGTAACTCCCACGATGTTGTTCAGTGATACTAATGCCATTTAATATGAAGGGGTGATGGTTGGATTCTGTCTTGTTGGAGATGAACATTGCCTGGTACTTCTATGGCACAATGCTACGTGCCGTTTGTTAGCCTAGTCCTGGATGTTGTCCAGGCCTTCCTGCATAATTTGGTCATGGACTACATCAGAATCTGAGGAGTCATGAAAGGTGCTGAACAGTTTGCAGTCAACAGCAGACATCTCCACTTGACAAATATGACTACATCAACAAAATTTGTGATATACTCTGTTTTATATCTGCGAAACCTGCACCACACATAACCGCATGGATGCTCTCTTGGTTAAGTTGAAGAAGTGCTTGTTGGACCTGCATAAGGGTATTATCCTTCCTGTTGACATATAGGATATGATTCATCCTTAAGCTTCACTGTATCCACACATGTAGGGGCTTCCCAAAACACACTGAAGCGGTGTCCTTTTATACCCTAATTTATCTACGACTGGCTTTGCACACACGCAGTAGCCAAATGTTGAGTGAACTGTTGCAGTTTTAAACGTATCTTCCATGTATAGTGTGAAGATTCCTTCACTCTTGGGTAGACAATAAAAATTGAGAGTGATCGCGTGTCTGTGTGTCTTTCAAAATTGTTATCTATTTACCAGGATACCACTCAAGGAAGCCATTAACATTTGCACCATGTGACTACTTCATGGTAATCCAGGTGTTCAAAGCAAGAACTCAACAATGTAGGACATTCACCGAGAAATAACTAGGGAAATCAGAAGAAACTTATTTATCCAGAATCTGATGAGAATGTAGAACTCGCAAACACAAGAAGTTGGTAAGGCAAAAAGGATAGTTTAAAGGAAGCTGGAGAAGTATGTGAGAGTTACGCTGATAGAGTTAAATAGGGAAAGAGACTTGATTGACTTGTTTATGTTGAGTATTCTTGTGGAACTGGTATTGTGTTGATTTTTGCTGGCTTCAATCCAGTGCTGTGCTTGTATTTTTTTTGCAGACTAGAAGAACTGGCTCAGATTTGTGCAAAATATGATATCCCTCACATAGTCAATAATGCTTATGGAGTTCAGTTGTCCAAGTGTATGCACCTTATTCAACAGGTATGAAGAAATTGCATTGTTGGAAAACTATTAAGAAATGAGAAAATGTTTATTGGAAGTACGATGTTATTAACTTGGCCTATATATTTAAAATATTTTGGACTGTTTTCTGCTGTTTATTGATGCCATTGTAAAAACCACCACAATTATAGTGTGAGATAACAAGGTGTGGAGCTGGATGAACACAG